CATCTTCACATCTCCTTCAACCTCGTCTTCGTCTATTTCATTACTACCATCAGGCAAATTGTTTTCCATTGCCATCCCCTCAAGTTCGTTGATTTGTTTAGTCTCGTCCTGCTGATCATGTTCATCCTTCTGGATGCCAGGGCTCTTCCTCTCCGACGCATCAGACACGAACTTGGCCTTCTTCTTGTTCAAGTCCGCCTTCTCACACTCCTTCATTGACTTTCTGATGAGTTTTTCCCCCAAGTTCCTATGTCCCAATGTGTCATGAAGAGTAATCAGCGGTTTCAACTCGACGGAAGGTTTACTCACATCCTCCTGCTTCCCCTCCTCTGACGCGCCTTTCTTCGACCGAAATTGCGATGAGTAGTCTCCGACGCCTCCCTCAGTCTTCAAACCTTCTCTTACTTTCATATCAGTTTCCTTTATGTGTCCGTTTATATGTTCCCTCCGTTGACTGTGCTCCTTTTCGGGTAATTTGGTGTCCCCCATTGAGCACTTCTCAAATTCGTTTGTCTGTTTAGGTTCATCCTGTTGAGTTCCTTCCCTTTGCATTTCCGTATTCCCCACCAGTTCTGATTCCACCTCCACCAGCTCTGGAGAACGACCTGAGAGGGGAATAAACACGCAGAGTTTAATGCCTGCGTATAATGCGGCAGTATTCACGTCGAGATGTTTATCGCTGTTCGTTGTCTCCCCGACTTCTGCTCCAGACTCCTTCAAACGTTGCTCGTTTTCATCAACTTCCTGTAATAACGCATCGACGGGAACCAATTCTAGAGCTTCCATAAGCACAGACATTGCTCCATCTTTGTCCATTTCAAATCCATTTACAATTGGTCTCCCTTTCACCTCCTTCTCCTCTTGCACACATATTTTCTCCTCAAGTTCTGATTCCTCCTCCGCCAGCTCTGGAGGAATATTTAAAAGAGGAATATACACGTGGGGTTTAACCATCGTGTCTAATGCAGCAACATTCACGCTGAGAGGTATTTCGTTGCCCTTTTCCTTTGCACTCTCTTCTCCAGGGTCCTTCATAAGTTTGACCCTTTCACCAAATTCCTTCAACCGAGTGTGTTGTAAGTAGTCTCCGTCCCCTCGCGCATATCCAGCACTCCCCTTTAATTTCATATTAGTTTCTTTTATGGTCTCCTGTCCCCTTTGCTCCTTTTCTACTGCTTTACCGTCCTCTATTAGAGTAGGCACAGTTGGGTTTTCTTTTGCCATCAGTGGACGGGACCTCTGATCTAAGGATGCTGTGACATCGCTGGTCCCGATGGTGTTCGCCAGGTTTGGGCCTATTATTCGCAGTTTCATATGCCCAATGTCAGTTTGTGCAGGAAGGTCGGAGTGTTTGTGGTCTGTGCCCTGCTTTGGTATTGGGATCGGTTTTGGCATGCTGTCATCAACAGCCGCATTCTTGGATGGTTGGTCGGTGACCAGGGCAGACCGCGGAGGCGACGCTGTAGTTCCCGAATCAGGCACAATTACGCCTTTGCTCAACCCCTCAGCGTCCAAGACGAAAGAAAAGTTGAGATTCAGCTCGAAAACCAAATCCGCTCCTGAGGTGACCTTGACCATTAATTCAAGTTCACGGTCACCCCGCACAGTCTCTATCCTCAGCGACCTATCTCGCAAAGCTTCCAGTTCCTCTCCGTCTCCGACTGTCGCCGGGGCCTCCTCACGAGAGCTCGATGTCCTCGGGAGGTGCCTGTCGTCGCCATGTTCAATCCTCAGCCGTTCGCTGCCATGTGACGACTGAATACGGTTCTCATTGAGCCCGTTTTCAGTTTGCATAATTTCATCTCCGTCTTCAGGCGTTTCGCCTTCTTCTCGTCGTCTTACATCCATTTGCTCGGTTTTTGCGAACTGTTTGCATAAAAGGACGTGCGGATAAAAACAACCTTGTGAGTTCACAAGATGTTTATTTCGAAGTTTCACGCGACAGCAAGAGCACGTCCTGCGGAGCCACTTAAAAGACGACCGTGAGCCCACGTGAAAAATGTGTGATCCTTGGGCTCGTTAAGGTCGGCTGCTGTTACGCACGTTGGATTGACTGGTCTCTGCTGAAGCGCTGCCTGTGTCACTGACTAACACAAGCATTCACACACACATCTGCTGGCTCCAGTTGCAGACTCAAAAGCCATAGCGTGTCAACAATCCAGGAATGTACTTCTTGTGGTGTCAGCCTACTGGTTGGGTGGGCTTGCGCGCAAGGTTGTAGTCCAGAGGTCAGTCAAATCTATCGCTGTGGCTTCAGTAAATAGGGAAAATCCTCGCCGCTGCAATTTTCATGTGCGGTTCTGTGTTGGAAATGAAGTAGGACACCAAGTGGAAGGAATAGTGTACTCTGTACAGAGCTAGTGGAGAATAGGTATGCTGAAGTTGGCAGCTGGGCGAACACGCGTCCGGATCCCATAGGGCGGCGTCTGAAGGCAAGAGTGCGGGAGTCATCACTGCGACTACAACGCGGTCATGTGTGAGTCAGCCCCAGGGAGGTGATTGACCAGACCGGATTGGGGTAGGCAGACATTAGTGCGTGCGCATGGGCTACCAGCCGCACGGGGCGGGCTTTCTGTGCGGATTGGGGTCACTGCAAATGCACATTGCGTTTAAGTCTGAAGTAACTCCACTATCTTGTGCTAGCCATTATTCAAAACTGACCTTAGTGTACGCGTTTGACCAAATTTTCTCAAGGCATCACAAAATAAAAAAAAAACAATCACAACAAAGGTGGAAGAGCTCGGATGACTAATTCAGTCTTGCCTCCTGCCTGAATCGCACGTTGCGGTGAAAAAGATGAAAACACATTCTCTTGATAGTCTTCTCTTGGACTCAACACAAAATGCTATACCCTCCCTGTTCAGGCACTTCTCAGGCTCTTCATGGGTTGTTAGGTGTCTTTTATTAAGCATTAGAAACGCACAGCATTGTCCAGGCTTGATGACTGAAGATGCCGCCTGCTCCCATTCCACCTTGTTTTAACTGAAGCTCTTACTTTTTTGGAATTCGGATTGGCAGGCTATGAGGCGAACGACCCTGAACCGCCGAAACCCAGATTAGCTTGCTCCTCTCTACTTATCCATCCCTCTGCGGCCCGTCTACCATTGTGTATGGTCCCGATGAAAACGGACAGGGCAACGAGCTCATGGCGCAGAGGCTAGAACGTTTGACTTATAGCTAACAAGATCGCGGGTTCGAACCTCGGGGGCTCCATTCTAGTCTTCCTTGTCTTTGTCGGTAGGGTGTTTCTGCCTAAAATATGCTAACCGTTGAGCATCTGCTGGCGGAATTCGAGAGCGGGCCAAAAGGCACTACAGGACGAGCGAATTCCGTACTGATGTGTGCGCGCCCGTCTACTGTAGAATTTACATATATATGCAGAAAGCACGAGACGAGTTGTTTAACTCTGAGGATCAGTTGATCAGCTGGCTGGGACAATGGAATGGTGTCTTGATGGGGGAAAAGGGAGTGTGGTTAGCTCTCAGCGCATACTCCTTACAATCTAACGCGTTTGAATATACCAGGGTTCGCTAACAGCTGTGGACTGGAAAGCTGCCAATTGACGGGCTAAATGGGTCCCTTGGTAATAAGCACGGAGAGTTAGGCCGCAGTGGCTCCTTGTTACTGTGGTCTCCATGGCACTTTCACTTAGGCGGGATCTGGGCCATCTCAATTTTGGTGCAAGGGAGCTTTCGTGGACTAAGTAGGTGCAAGTTCACGCCTGCGTCTGTCCCTGCCTCGGATTTTCCTGACTCATTAATGACACAGGGTCCAAGTGGAGAGAGGTGGAGAGCGCGTAAGATACTGTGCAAGTCAATTATTACTATAAACTAAATCACGCCCACATCACTGTCTCTATGGGACACACGGTGGATATCGTCAGTAATGATGGTCAAACTGTCGTGAATCACAAGGTATTTGGAAGCATCTCGAAGAAAACATATATGTATTGACCTTCCGAAAAGCCGACGTAATCGCTGGCTAAAAGTATCATCGAGACCCAATCTCAGCCGGTAATCGTTAAACAGTACTCGGAGCTGTATCATGTCAGCATACAATTACGATGTGGAGCAGGAGTTCTACAGACCAGTCTGGCGAATCGGACGTCCGCTGAGGCAGGAGAGGTTTGCTACCAGCAGACCGGAACTTAATAGACAAGTCTCAACATGAGCTGTGTGGCAGTTTAAAAATGGCATCTTCA